TGGGCATCAAGAGCAATCAGGCAAGGTGAGACAGCTCAAGATGACAGCTTAGTCACACACACCTTGCCATCTCCCTGCAGCAAAGAACCGAGAAATCAAGTGAAACGGATACAAATGACAATCTGAACACCCAGAACAGCAGACAGAAGGATGAAGAATTAGATCAAACACCGAAGGGAAGGAGAAACTGAACGGAAACAGCAAACAGGGAGACTTATGGACTATAGGCACCCTACCAGCTGGCCTGACGCAGCATGGCCGTCTTGAACAAAGTGAGCAGCATTCCCAGGTGAGAAGCACAGGAAGGTAACTTCACAGAATCCCCAAGAGGAGACAGAATACTGCGTAGACAAACCTGGAGTAAAGCAAGGTGAGCAGAAAATGAACTGGATCTAAGGAGGGAAAGTTCAGCAAGGCGGGCAAGAGCCCTAGGGATGCCAGGTGACCATAGAGCAGGGAGGGAGCCAGAAAATAGGGACAGACCTACTCACCAGCAGCAGTCCCTGATCATTTGGGCAGGTGGTGATGGTGGAGTGGAAGATCCTTGGAGTGGTGGCCCCACCCGATCAGACTCTGGACAGGGCCCCTCCTTCACATTTGGTTGCGACCGGGTCCTGATCGCTGGCTGCACTCTGCAGAGAGTGCCCCGGTGCCCATGACAGAGGCTGGGGGAAGACACTTCTCCTTTCTCTCCCAACCCCCGTCTTTCTGGTGAACAGCAGTGAGTCCTCCCTTCCCCCACTACCCAGTGATACAACACACATGCTCCTGCACCGTCGGACCTGCAACCAGAGGCTTGCACCCGGCCATCCCCACACATTGAAACCCGCCAGACATCCGTGGAGCACACTCCCACACCAGTGGACCTCGCAACTGAAGGCTCGAAACCATCTCCGAACATCCCTGCACAGCTACACCGCCAGCTGGCAATCCACGGTGCACACTCTCGTGCTGTAGGATTTGCAGACGGAGTCTGGTCCTCACTCGCTCCAACCACCCCCGTGCCACTCTGCCCACCTAACAACCGGTAGTGTGAGTTCCCGTGCCACTCACTCAGTGACCGGTAACCTGTGTAACCTTGCCCTGATCACCTGGCAACTGGCAGTGCACACAAACAGCACCCAACCCAGCAATCAACAAGAACACTCCCTGCACCTACACCCAGGTGACCAGTCGGACAGAAACATCACTGCACCAGCAATGCCAGTCACATTCTGAGAGGTACCAGCCACACCCCTGTCAAACAACAAGCAGATCCTAGTGCCCTCATCCAACATCCACCGGCTGCAACGTCACACATCCCACACCCAATTTCTGCAGGCCATCTGCACTTGCACTGAAACCCCCTGATATTTCACCACCTACAGAGATGCCAATTCATGCACGCACAGCAGGCCCACCCTGTCCATTTGGGTAGCACTCCCTCACAGTGGATATGGAGACATCCTGCCCTGACCTCCAGAAAACATGCTAACTGCCAGCACCAACCTGAAAGGACCCCACAGTCTCCCCAGGACTGGGAAGAACCATGACCACCAAACACTTATCACCCAATATCAGGGAAAGAACCTGCTCTCCCACTTCCAATCAGTCCTGTAAGGGGAAACATACAAGCCTAACAACAGAGGGCTCACATGTAAGTGTGACCCACCACACCCACTAGTGAGAGGAAATCACATACAGCCAACAGATACCACCAAAGTCACACACAGACCAGAACCACAAAATAACAATTAAAATAATACAAAGGAAGAAAGACATTCTAAACAGAAAGAGAAGAAACAAAACTCCAGATACATCGAAACAAAACAACAACAAAAAAGCACAAAATGAATATATATACAATCAATAAAGACATACATACATGAATAAATGAATACCTTAATACCTTGGAGATATCAGACAATAACAAATCACATGAAGAAACAAGATAAGATGGCTCAAACAAGTAAGCAAAATAAAGAGGGAAAAACCTTCACTAGAAAGAAATGGTAGTAGAACTACCTGACAAGGAATTTAAGACACTTATATATAGAATCCTTAAAGGGATTAAGGAAAACACAGACAATGCCTTAGCAGAAATCAGGAAAATGATACAAGAACAAAATGACGGACAATTAGAAACCATATGAAAACAAATAAAAATCCAGACTAATAATACCAGAAGTAGATAACTCAATGGAAGGACACAGAAGTGAATCGATGGAAGAAAGAACCAGCGAAATAGAGGACATATCCCTTGATTCTACTTTGAGGAACAATCAGAAAAAATAATAAGGTAAAATGAAGAAAGCCTAAGAGTTATGTGGGACACTATCAAGAAGAATAATTTAATCATAATTGGAATTCCAGAACAAGTGGAGGGAAAAAAAAACACAGAGAGAACTGTTGAAGATTATTGGCAGAAAACTTTCTAATATCAAGAAAGACAAGGTTTCCATCCAAGGAGTTCAACAAACCCCATACAGGACAGAATCTAAAAGAAAAGCACCAAGACATATCATAATCAAATTTTCTAAGACCAAAGACAAAGGAGAATTTTGAGAACAGCTCATGAAAAACAAAATATCATCTACAAAGGGACACCAACAAGACTAAGCTCTGATTTCTCAACACAAACCATACAGGCAAGAAGGCAGTGGGATGACATATCTAAAACCCTGAAGAAAAAAAATGCCAACCAAGAATCATATATCCAGCAAAAATGTCTCAAATATGATGGAGAAACTAGGACATTCCCAGATAAACAGAAAATAAGGAATTTTTAAAAACCAGACTAACTTTACAAGAAATATTAAATGGAGTCCTTCAGACAGAGAACCAATGACATCAGACAACATTAGACTAAGACACACAACAGCATCACCCCGATATCAATCCTGATAAAGAATTCTCAAAAGCAAAATAAAACTGCAAAATTGAAAACGGAACCAGAGACGTCAGTCTGTAAACAACAACTTCAAAACAAAAAGGCAGAATAAATGATGTCATTACAGAACTTCCACATGGAGAGGAAGTCAAGATATAATAGAGCATTTTAAACCTAGGAAGATAAAGGTAAATTCTGGAGGAACCACAAAGAAAATTAATAAATCTACTCACCAAAATAAAGAAGAAAACAAAAAGACTCAGTAAACACAAAATCAACAACGAAGAAAAAAAAAAAAGGAAATCCATAAACACAAAGAACTCAGCACAGAAAATTACATGGAACAAAGAATACCACGAGAAAAAAAAAGCATTAACAAAAAGGCAGCAGTATAATATTTATAGATAATCACACTGAATGTAAATGGCTTAAATGTACCAGCCAAGAGACAAGAGAGCGGCAGAATATATTAAAAAACATGACCCATCAATATGTTGCCTACAAGAGACACATCTTAGACACGAAGACATAAATAGGTTAAAAATCAAAGGATGAAAAAAATATATACATATCAAGCAGATAGTAACCAAAAGACAGCAGGAGTGGCAATAATAATCTCTGATTAAAACAGACTTTAAGTCAAAATTATAAGAGATAAAGAAGTGCATTATATAATGATTAAAGGGTCAGCTCACCAAGAGGAAATAAACATAATAAACATTTACTCACCTGACAACAGAGCTCCAAAATACATAAAACAAACTCAAACAGAATTGAAAAGAGAAATAGTTGTTGATGAAGAAGAAAGACTACAGCCTTCAGTATGGATTACAACTGGTGACCTACTTCCAAAAAATTAGCCAATGAAAACGCTATGGACCACAACAGAACAATTCTATTGTACACAGGGTTGCCATGAGTTGGGGCTAACAACAACAACAAAGATGGCTATAATTAAAAAGATGGATAATAACTAACGTTGAGGATGTGAAGAGATTAGAACCCTCATACACTACTAATGGGAACTTAAAATGGTACAGTCACTTTGGAAGACAGCCTGGCATTTCCTCAAAAGATTACACACAGAATTACCATATGATCCAGCAATTATACACGTAGGTATATACGCAAGATAAATGAAAAGATATGTCCACACAAAAATTTGTGCATGAGTGTTCATAGCATTTCTCATAATAGCCAAAAGGTGGAAATAACCCAAATGATCATCAACTGATAAATAAAATGTGGTACATATCCATACAAGAAGCCCTGGTGGCGCAGTGGTTAAAGCCATTGACTGCTAACTGTAAGGTCAGCAGTTTGAAACCACCAGCAGCTTCATGGGAGAAAGATGTGGCAGTCTGCTTCTGTCGAGATTTACAGCCTTGGAAACCCTATGGGGTCACTACATATATATTATACATCTATAATACAATATATATAGTTTATCAATAAAAAGGAATGAAGTATTGATACATGCTACATGTACGAAGCTTGAAAACATTATGCTAAATGAAAGAAGCCAGTAACAAAAGATAACACATTGCATGATTCCATTTATATAAAATGTCCAGAATATGCAAATCCATAGAGACAGAATGTAGATTAATAGCTGTTTATAGAGTTGGAGAGATTGGAAGGGAAATGGGGAGCAACTACTAGTGGGTATAGGGTCTTGTTGGAGTGATGAAAATGTTCTACAATTGATTGTGGTGATGATGGTTGCAAACCTCTGTGAATACACTAAATCACTGAACTGTATACACTTTACATCAGTGAATTAAACATTATACGAATTATATCTCAATAAAGTTATTACACAAAAAATAATAATAATAACCTAGTCTTTCATATCCTTGATAAGAAACATTCCAAGTCAAAAATTTTCTGACACTGCTAGTCAAGAAAGAAAAGGCTTACTGAAGATAATACAGCAATTTTATTCCTTAATCAAATGATAAAAGAAAAAACAAACCATAAAAATGCTCATTTCTCTTTTCTGATAGGAACCTTAATAATAAATGCCTTCAACTTATAATTACATACATATTGGTAGTCCATATTACAGTACATTTTTTCCTCTGCAAAACTCTGAAAAACACTTTAACAAAGCAAATCTTACCTCACTTACCATATTATAGAATTCCAGCTCTCTTGGACCCCTTGGAGGTGGCTGTAACTGTTTCAAAACTGTGCCATCTGGATGTTGCAATATACCTGAGGAATAAAATCAGAAAATTTTAATGGCTTAATAATAGTGTACCTTGCTTCATAGGACAGATTTGCTCCTGAAGTTCCATGCAGACCACCTTCATAAATATGAGTTTTTTTTACTTATTTCATACATTTTAGCATTCAACCAAAGTGTTTTCATGCTTGTTATATGCAAAGCATTAGACCACAAATTCTAAACAGCTTAATTTTATTCTCTCCAACCACAACTCCCTTCTGACCCATTCAGACCTTCTAATAAGTAGAACACTAAATTTTAATAAAAATTTTCCGAGATATTAATTTATAGTCAAGCAAAAAGCAGGTTAAAAACAGTAGTGTTTATTGATCCCATTTTTATTTTTAAAAAAATAAACATATTAACAATGGTCATATATAAATTTTCTACTTGGTAATTTTTTTTAACGTTTTTCTCACCTGTTGTGAGAAAGCAACTATTTTCCTGATTCAGCAAAGCTACATACGGTTGTACAGGTAGTACAAAACACCTAGCTAAGGGGAAAAATGAGGGCTGAAATAAGGCACCAATCCTGGAGCTCTGCAAGGTGAGAGAAAGGGGCACATTTTACAATCTTTCTACTCAGAGAGGAAGTCTTTTTCTAAAGTCACCATATGCATACTAGCACTAGCCCCGTCCCTATATCATGAAAATTCATTCCAAATTTATGTTAAAAGTTTAAATTTTCATGTATTTGTATTTCACAAAACCATGTTAGTTAGCACAGAATAGTGTTCACAGAAGAGGGTTCAAATAAATCTATTCAAAAATTTGAGCACTATGGTTTTGGGGGACATTTAGGTCAACTGGCATAACAAAGTTTATTAAGAAAATGTCTGCATCCCACTTTGGTGAGTGGCATCTGGGGTCTTAAAAGCTTGTGAGCAGCCATCTAAGATGTATTAATTGGTCCCAATCCACCTGGAGTAAAGGAGAATGAAGAATACCAAGGACAAAAGGCAAGTATTAGCCCAAGAGACAAAAGGGCCACATAAACCAGAGACTCCATCAGCCTGAGACCAGAAGAACTAGATGGCGCCCGGCTACCATCAATGACTGCCCTGACAGGGAACACAACAGATAGTCCCTGATGGAGCAGGAGAAAAGCGTGGTGCAGAACTCAAATTCACATAAAAAGACCAGACTTAATGGTCTGACTGAGGCTAGAGGAACCCTTGAAGACATGGCCCCTGGGCTCTCTGTTAACCCAGAACTAAAACCATTCCTGATGCCAACTCTTCAGACAAAGATTAGACTGGACTATAAAACATAAAATAATACTCGTGAAGAGTGTGCTTCTTAGTTCATGTAGATAAATAAGACTGAATGGGCGGCTCCTGTCCAGAGGCAGGATGAAGAGGCAGAAAGGGACAGGAGCTGGTTGAATGGACACAGGAAACCTGGAATGGAAAGTGGGAGTGTGCTGTCACACTATAGGGATTGCAACTAGTGTCACATAACAATATGTGTATAAATTTTTGTATTAAAAATTGAGCAGCAAACTTTCACCTACAGCACAATTAAAAAAATTAATTTGATAAACTATGTCACTTGAGTTTCTATTTCTTTTTGCCAAGTGTCAAGTTATTTTAATCATGACAAAAAATACAGAATTTAATCAATATAAGCAGAAAGCCTCAACTTAAGAGGTACAGTAATCAAGTTATTTTAAGACCTAGGTATAGAATAGAACGAAGGTTTTGGTATTGTTGTTAGGGGCCATCAAGTCGATTTTTGACTCATAGTGACCGTATGTATCAGAGTAGAACTACCCCATAGGGTTTTCTAGGCTGTAATCTTTACAGGTTCTTCTCCCACAGAGCTGCTGGGTAGGTTCAAACAGCCAGCCTTCCAGTTAACAGTCAAGCAATTAACCATTGGGCCACCAGGACTCCTTAGAAGGCAGGTAAATATTAATACAAATGCATAGGATTGGTTGGTAAGCAGTCAAAAGAGTTTAGGACTTACAAATAAAAATTACTTAAGAGGACTTCTAAGGTTAGGATGTAGAACAAGAAAGATATTCACTCCCATGACAACAGTATTTTCTACGGAGCTAGTGAAGAGTGGTAAATGTGAGGAAGCCTTGATAAACTGAATTCCAGGCCAAAAAAGAAGAGCATTCATAAATGAACAGAGAACTGAGAAAACAAGAAATGTTGGCGAGGATGTGAGGACATCAGAACCCTTATATACTGCTGGTGGGAATGTAAAATGGCACAACTACTATGAAAAACAGTATGGTGGTTCCTCAAAAAAATATAAATAGAATTCCTTATGATCCAGCAATCCCACTTCTAGGTATATACCCTTGAGATCTAATACAAGAGACAACTAACGACATACACACACCTAAGTTCATTGCAGTGCTATTCACATAGCAAAATGATGGAAACAACTTAAGTACCCAAAGACTCAGAAGAAAGTAGTCTACAGGACTAATAGTCTACACAAAACATGACCTCACCTACCCTTAGACCAGAAGAACTAGATGGTGCCTGGCTACCACTACTGACTGTTCTGATCAGGGCCACATAGACGGATCCTGATAGAGTGGGAGAAAAATGTGGAACAGAACCCAAATTCTTAAAAAGTCCAGACTTGCTGGATCGGTGGAGACTAGAGGATTCCCTGAGACTATCGCCATGAGATACTCTTTAAACCTTGAACTGAAACTATCCCCTGAGGTCACCCTTTAGTGAAATAACAGATTGGCTCATAAAATAAAGAACATCACCTGTGAGTACTGCACTCCTTTAAAAAATCATCTATATGAGACCAAATGGTCAACAATTACTCTAAAGCAAAGATAAGAAGGTTTAAGGGCGCAGGGAATCTAGATAACTGAAAACAGAACAACCAGAACGGAATTAATGAGAATACTGACACACTGTGAAAAATGTAACTGCTGTCACTTAACAATTTGTGTAGAAATTGTTAAATGGGAACCTAATTTGTTACGTAAACTTCCACCAAAAACACAATAAAGTATTACTAATAAAAATGGACAGAGAATCATGGCATACCTTGGAATAAGCATCTGGTCTGGAAACAGGTGGGCTTGCCTTTAAACAAAGACATTTTGTTGGAAAGCAGAAATCAGGCAGACTGGACAAAAGTGTAGGGTAGCAGGATGGATCAGATATTACAATAGTCCTAGCACAAAAATAGATTGCTTGGTACAGAAATCCTTCGACACTACTTGTTACGGATTGAATTGTGTCCTCCAAAAAGATATTTTGACACCCTAACCCCTAGTACCTGTGAAAGTGATCTTGCTTGGAAATAGGGTCTTTGAAAATACTATCAGTTAAATTAACACAAGGTCATCCTGGAGTAGGGTGAGTCCTAATCCAATCTGAGTGCTATCCTTATAGGAGAGGACAACAGACACAGAGACAGAGGAAGATGGTCATATGAAGACGCATCTACATGCCAAAGACACCTAAGGCTACCAGAAGCTGAGAGAGGCAAGAAAGGATCTTCCCCTAGAGCTTCCAGAGAAAACATGGCCCTGACAACACCCTGAATTCGGACTACTAGCCTCTGGAACTACAAGACGCTAAATCTCTGTTCTTATAAGTCACCCAATTCATGATTCTTTGTTATGGCAGCCCTAGGAAACTAATAACATTACTCATCCCCCAACACATCCCCTACAAGTTGTTTGAGAAAGCAGCTGTGGATGAGAAAATAGTAATCCCAGGAACTTTAAGAAAGATCAATAGTAAATACCTAAATTAAAGCAGTAAGAGAAAAAATATCTAAAAGAAAAAAGGAACAGAGTACTAGAAATCCATAGGATAATATCAAGCATTCTAACAAATGTATAATTGGAGTACCAGAGAAGAGAGAATGAGTCAGAAAAAAAAACCCTGGGTTTCCAGTTTCTGCCTAGGATATAGAAAGGTAAAAAGTGGATCTCTCCTACCTAAAAAGAAAAAGCTAGATAACTGACAAAATCATAACTTTTCTTGAAAACATCAGAGAGCTAAGATCATAAACAACAAATATGAAACCTAAGGAAAGACAAGCACCACTAAGAAAGGCAGTCTAGGCACACTGGCTCACCTGAGGCAGAGCATGGGAAGAAGATGGGGCCACTTTGCCAGGGAGTAAGAATAACTCAGTTTAAATTTATAACAAATGGCTAAGAGTAGGTTAGTGAGAGAAAACCCCTAGGAGTAACAAACACTTGCAGCAAACCAAACCCATTGCTGTCAAGTCGATTCCAACTCATAGTAACCCTGTAGGACTGAGTAGAACTGCCCTATAGAGTTTCCAACAAGCGGTTGGTTAGTGGATCTGAACGCCGACCTTCTGGTTAGCAGCCAAATGCTTAACCACTGCGCCACCAGGGCCCTAGGACTCCACCAAAGGAACAGTTAAATAAATTATGATACATCTATAATATTTTTAAAAGGATAATGTATATCATAAACACAAATATGAATACACTACATGATATACTACAGCTTGAAAAAAAAGTTGCTAATACATATACCTGTCTGAAAAAAAAAAAAATCGTATTTATTTATCCATCCAGAAACAAAGACCTAAAAGAATTCATATGAAACAGTTAACAGTAATTGTTCCTGGGAGAGTGAGAGTAGGGGGAAAGGCACTACTATATTCTGAATATTTTTCCTTCAAGTTCATATACTACTTTCACATGCTAAAAAAAAAAAAATTTTATTCTTAAAACTAAGATTTAAATGTACTTTAATCAAGTAAGATTTCAGTGAAGAATATGAACTATAACTCTACATCAAAACTATTAACATATAATCAATACCACTTAATTGTACATGTAGAAACTATTGACTTGCTGCATGTTTTGCTGTGTATATTCTCAGAAACATAATAAATAAAATTCAGGGAAAAAAACTACTAACATATTCCTGTTACTTAACTATAACAAGATCTATTGTTCTGTTCAAGCACCTTTGTTCTATCTTGTTTCATGTTTTTAATTTTTAAAGTTAACAAGACTAACAACTCCTTTTTAGAAGTTGGTTAAGACAGCAATTCTAAATTGAAAAATCCATTAATGATAGTAACAAAATTTCTTTTTATCCAACAAGTGTCTTTAACAAAGTTTATTATGAGAATTATTTCAGTTGCCAAACCAAACCAAAAGTAGGATCAAATGCTGTACTTTAAAACTATAAGTGATTTACGACAGTGAAACATCTATAAATTGTTGAACTTTGAATTACTATCTTGTTATCCATTTGATGAATGGGGAAGATTATCATCATTCAAGCATCTTTCTGCTAGCAATATATGCAGGATTGTGTAAATAACTGAAAATTAAATTCAACAAATGTTGATTAGGTTGCTAGTACAATATATTCAACCCATTTGCTCTGCTGATATATAAAGACAGTCTCTAGTCAAACAAATCTTACAATTGAAAAAAAACTATGTGAAATTTAATGCAAAAATAAATAAAATTAAGGAATTCTTCCTCGAGAATCTAACCTGCTTTAATCAGGCCATTTGGGTGGCAAATGAATTCTTTCAGCCACTGTTTGCAATGTAGCTTTAAGTCACATTCAGGGTTCATTTATAATTACTCAGAGATAACTATCTGAATGGAATGGCTACTATACACTTTTGATACACAGTGGTTACACTCTTTAAGTGATAAACATCACTGGAATTTGGGAACCTAATTTGCTGTGTAAACTTCCACCGAAAACACAATAAAATATTATTTAAATTTCACCTTCCAAATCTGTCTCAACTTCTTGCATTTCTACTCTACCAGCTTGGTCCAAGCCACAGTCATCTCTCACCAGGATTAGTGAAACTATTATCTAGCCTCCCTGCAGAATTATGCTTCCCCTCCTCCAATTCCTCTCCAGTTTAACTCATTGTCCACATATCAAATAGAGTGTTCTTTAAGGAAATACAAAGTTCTTTACAGTTCACTGTTCTTGTGATAAGGATCATAGATCCTTAGACCTAGAAGACCCTACACAACCTGGCCCCATCTACCTCTCCAGCTTCATCTCACTGCCAGGCTCCTTTTAAAATGTCTTCCTCCTCCTAAATACACAGGGAAATCCTCTATGAGATGAATTGATACAGTTGCCAAAACAATGGACTTAAAACATACCAACAATCACAAAGATGGAATAAGATTATTGTGATACCTAAAGTTGCTATGTGTTGGAGCTGACTTGAAAGCACCTAACAACTGCTTTTAATGTCCTCCAACCTCCTTTCTTGTTGTTGTTAATAAATCCTAGACTTACTTTAGATTTCTGATTATTTTTTCCTGGAGGAAGTCTTCTCTCATTTCCCTGTTCAGCCATTTCCCAAACAGCCCCACCCCAATTTCCCACTTTGACAGAATAATTTACTTCCTCCTCTTTTATCACTTTGCGGCATAGTTATAATTTTATACTAATGTAATCTTTGACTGTTTTTCTATCCCACTAGACCAAAAGTTCATGAGGGCAGGTACTGTATTTTGGATTTTCCTCAAATTTGTTTCGGAATGCCTAGTACAGAGCCTGGAAAACAGTAAGCATTCAGTAAACATCTGCTGCAAGGCCATTCTGTCCCACATTTAATTCCCTGTGCCACTGTCCTTCTCTCAAGTCTTAAAGTCCAGGTCAATATAAAATCAGAGTAGAGCAGTTCCTATTCACATTAAATAATAGTGATTTCAAAATATAACAGATGAACGTTTATACTTTTAATTAAATACTAATTGCTAATGCACTGAATAAAGTTTCTAAATTTTTATTATTTTAAATATATTAGAGTCCTTTGAGGGTAGTTAAATATTATCACAAAATTAGGGAAATTTTACATTTTAAATGACCTTTATTACCAGGACCATGTTAAATTATTTTTTTAAAAACTCAAAATTTAAATAAGGACTCTTTATACATACAAAATAAAGTTAGTATTTGACAGTGGCATGAAAGCAAATTACTTAAACGTTGACTTAAGTGGCTAGAAACTATAAAATTGGTACAATAAAAATCTACTATGTTTCATCCGAGAAATTTGAGGAATAAAAGAAAACAAGTCACTAACTAGATAGTAGACAAGCGTCAACTTTGGTGAAGGAAAAGACAACACACAATACAGGGGAAGTCAACACAATAAAAAAAAAAAAAGAAAACAAGTGACTGAAAGTCAAAGGTTCAAGGCCCTAAATAGGAATCTTACTTTCATTAAAATGAAACAAAAACTATAAAACTTACAGATACCAAAACTCATTATAATTGCCAAAGAACATTTCCATTACTAATAGAAATTTTCACATTTAGCCACAAAAACTTACTTCATAAAATAGAAACAGCTACTTCACTTGTATGTCAGTCTGAGATTTTTCAACAATGCTCCATCCCCCTCCAAAAAACCATTTATTTAAGCTATTTCTTTATTGCTGACAGTTCCAAAGGAAAAAGAACACGGAACAAACACAATGTTGAAAATACTGTGAACTTAAACCTGGTTCTCCTCCCACCTTTGCACCCTAATGCTTTCAGAATGAAAGATCAAGACATTCTTAGTGAAATATCTTCGGGCTGGCCTCCTATTCCCTTCCCCCATTCCCTACCTTTTCCTAGTTCGAAATTCTGCGCATATTATCTTTTCTAAAGGGAGTTTTGAAGTTGCAACACTTAAATCTTTTAGAATTGAAAGGTACCCTGGGGATTATTCCATTCATTTGTTCTCCTGCATAGGTGATGTGACCCTAAGAGGTCGAACGTCTCGTCAAGTTCACAAGGTTAGACAGTGGTAGAACTGGCATTTAAACCTGAGTTTCTCACTAGTGCAGTACACATTTCAATGTCCCACAGTATGTAACAAAGAATATGCATACTGCATAAGCAGTTTTCACACGTATGTAAGCAGTTTCTTTTTCTTTTCTTTTCTTTTTTTTTAAGACAAGCAATGTTGAGCCCTAAGGTCCCTGGGTAGTGCAAATGGTTAATGCACACTAGGCTGCTAACCCAAAGGTTGGAAGTTTAAGTCTACCCAGAAGTGCCTTGGAAGAAAAGCCTGGCAATCTACTCCCAAAAAATCAGCCACAGAAAACCCTATGGAGCACGGTTCTACTCTGACATACATGGGGTCGCCATGAGTTGAATCAACTGCACAGCAACTGGTTTTTATGGTAATTTTATGTAACTATAAACTGTGGTTTGAAAACAAACATCACATACTAAATGACCCTCATTGGAAAAGACAGCTATAAGTCTCCACTTAATATCTTGCATGAAACTCTTACTCTTCCTGTGAATATATGAGTTATTTATTTGCAGCAGAAATTTTATTTTCACTAAGAGTAGTTTTCCCTTGCCATCCAGCATATTTCTAACATCCCTAAAAATCAAATGGCATTTCAGGTTCAGAGGAAAAAAATAAAAGCTTGGCATAGGTAAAACAATTTAAGAAAGTATTATGCCATACGCCAATCAACTAGTTTATTGTATATTTTGTACTAGGCATGCCACTGCTGCCCTCAGTGATTTGTTAGCTTACCTGATTACAGCAACATGATGAAAAAAAAAAATCAGTATGGTTCACTATATTTCACATATACATTCACACTAGTACTCATGCATTTTCAAAAAGCCTCGTTTAAGTTGTGTCTGCAAGCACACTACATGGTGGAAAAACAGTGCTTAGAAACAGGAACCCCAGAACCCTTGGTTTCAGGATTCTACTACAGAGCAGCTGTGTGACCTTAGTCTAGTCACTTAACCAGGCTTGCCTCAGTCACCTCAACTGAAAAGTATTATCTTACCAACCTAAATCTGAATCCTCTTACCAGCATAAACCAAATTGCCTCTAGTGGCCCTTCCAAATCTATGGTCCGCAGTGCTTACATAGTCATCCATCATATCCCCCATGTAAACATGGCCTAGGGAAACACTGTGGGTAAGCTAGGAGAATTATAGTTAGTAAACTGAACTTCTATATCACCAAGAGAATAAACCGAGTTAGGCCCGTATTGTGCTTCAAAAGTTGGGAACTCACACAGGCCATGATCTAGTCTTATAAAGATAAACAAGAAAAACAACTGAATGTCTCATTTGCGTACCATTCTATTCTACCAGGATGTATTTCCTACCAAGAATCCGCGTTTCTCTAACACTGGAACCACGCCTACTGGAGAAATCAAGGCGGCACTAGAAAAACCTCCCGAAGGAGCAAGGAGCGATATCCAGGATAGGCCGAGACAAGCTTTCCCAAAAAAAAAAAAAACTCTGTTTTTGCTTTCCCTCCAGCTATGCAGCTGCACCCAGAAGAAAAGCAGTAGAGTAGCATCATCTGCATTTCATTCCTTCTCTTTTGCAATAGCTACTCGCCTATAATAAACAGACCTTGAGCTCAGGGGAGAATTTACTTCCCCGTCCAGTAGAAATGAAGTTCCTTATTTTCACTAAGAACGCCGTCTCCAATCAACACCCACCCTCCTTGGGGAGGTTAGGCGCACCTCTCTCCACCACCCCCACGGCAAGCTGACGCCCCACACCTTAGAAACCGCCCCACTTTATGAGCCCCTTCAGCACGAGTCCGAGGCTCCGGGGGAAGGCGGAAAAGACCGGGGTTGGGGGTCGTGCAGCCCGGGAGGGACGTCCAGCCCGGCCTGCCAGTACCGGGCTCCCTCGGTCAGCCAGGGGGCTCGCGGAGGCGGAAGGGTAGCGGCGAGCCCCGCGCCACCCCCACTTACCCACTTTGTCCTTCCCGTACATGTGCCCGGCCACCTGATGCGACAGGGGAACGCAGCCGTTGAGGAAGCGGAGCCTGCCGCCCGCCGGCTGCGGGGTGCCCTCGGGGACGGCCTCGCTCGCCGGCGGGATCTTCATTTCGGGGGAACCCGGGGCCTCGAGCCGGAGGGGGGATGGCGGCTCCGTTGCCATAACGGAGAGCTGAAGCGGTGACGGCGGCAGCGGCGACAGCAGGAAAAAAAGGGAGGAGGAAAGGTGCGGCGGGGAGCCCGAGGGTCGCTCGCTCAGGCTTGGCCGCGAGGAGGCCCGGGGGTACCCGCCGATGGTGCTCGCTGAGGCCCGGGGAGGGGGCCCATTACGCCGGTGAGGCGCGGGCGCTCCTCTGCCCAACTCTCGGTGGAGCGCGGCTCCCGGCTCCCGCAGCTCTGCCGCTGTGGCCGCCAGCCCCGGCGCTGCCCTGGAGACGGAACTGAGCGGAGGAGCAGCGGCGGCGCCCCGCGCTCCCTGGGCCCCTGACGGCGACAGCGGCCCCCCCTCCCGCGCTCCCGCCCCCTCCCGCCGTCCTCCAGTCCCCTCGGCTACGGCGCGCGCGTCAGCGCCGCCCGCTCCGCAGCCGCCGCCGCCAGCTTCCGACTGCGCGACCCGCGGCCGCCGCAGCTACTGAGCATGCCCAGAGGGCGCCCGACGGGACCCCCGCCGCGGGGCCGGCACGCAGCGGGGCCTGGGCACTCTGACGGCGATCTGCAAGGGTCGCGCAACCTCGAAGACTTTCTCATCTCCTCCCACTCCCCCACCCGGGGGCTGGCGTTAGGATGCCACCGAGGCCGCTGAGCCTTCATTCATTCACCGCGCATTCCAGTGCTTTCGACTCAAAGACGCCAAGGGCTTCCAGTTGTGAGGAGCAATCACGTATTAGGAGGTTAGGGAGGCAGCAGCAGTGCCAAAAGTGGCTTGAGACGCCAGTCCTTAATTTCAGTGAACTCCCTCCAACTCTCACCCCGCACAGAAACACAATAGAAGTAAAAGCAGACAGCTTCTTATAAGACGCATCTTTACGACACCTTTCAAGTTAGCCCTAGTCCTCCTTCCCAGATTGTTGCCCTATTTGGAACCGACACTAATTTGAGGGTGTACAGATAGAGAATAATCCTAATTCTTTTTAAGTGAACACGTTTTTGAAGAAATAGCAGTTTTTCCTTCTCTTCCACCCGACCCTTAGTGCAGGTTCCGAGGTCCTGAGTAGATGACTAACCGAGTCAAAGAGAGGAAAGGGATGTACGCCGGGAGCTAGGAGAGGTTCTGGAATGGTACTCTGTCGCTGATTCCTGTGTGCCTGTCACTAGCACCTTATATGAAAACTAGGCCTGGCTTTGCAGGTATCGGTCTGAGCAAGAAAATATTGGGTAAAATCTTAGATATCTGATTATGGCAAATGTCCTAGTAGCACCTGTCTTCTTTGCCCCCTAAAAACGCACACACCTGGAAGAGACGTAAAAACTGGCCTGAACTCTCAGTCCCCAGGGCCTTGCCTCTCGGTCCCGCCCCCTGGCCACGCCCCTCAGGGCTGCGCAAACTCAGTTGCTACCACTGTAGGCCTCTTCCCCATTCTGCTGCTGTCAAAATCCGGACTTTAGACTTTAAGGTCTGGGACAGAGGCTCTGCGCATGCTCAACATCAACCGGGGAGCGAAAAGACACACGTGCTTAAGGTCCGCCGCGGCGCCTGCGCAGTAGCAGCCCTGTGTCTGTACCTTAGGACGCTCCTCGTACCTTTATTCCCGCTGTCTGCGCGAGCCCTGTTTGTGCTCTGTATCCTGTGCACACGCCTTGCGAGTGACGGCGCCATGAGTCTGACTTCCAATTCCGGCGTACGAGGTGAAGTGGGGCCTGGGAGCGGGTGAGGCTGGCGGCCCGCGTACCTGCGGCATACTCAGCTCCTCTCCGGGCTATTACTTGTGCCCTGCGCTGTTGCCGGTACTGTAACCTTGAGATGCAGAAGGGCAAACGCTTGGCCCGGCTGCGGGCTCCTGGGCGGACGGGGAAAGGGGGCGAAGTCTCAGGGTATGGATTGGCGGCGTCACCGGCCAAAAGCCGCGAGGGGCCATGCAAGCCATCTACGCAGATCTGGACCGCGGCTACTCTAACCAGCCAAACCTTAATATCTAATAATGCTGCTGCTAGCGTTTCTCGTTCTTCTCTGAGACGCCTGTGTTCTTAAAATACAGGGCCCGGAAAAAAGAAGTGGGGGAAGAAAAGTGTTCCCCCCTTCTCACGTTTAAATCAACGTGGGATCAGAACGTTGGTTTCCTGCAATCCTGAAGTGATGCATGACTAATCTCTTTAGTTTGGTACCTTTTTTCTTAAGGGAAGAAACTCAATCCGAGGTTTCCAGCTTTCCCAGTTTTTTATCATGCCCCTGGCATCTGGCGCTTGGTGGCGGTAATCCAGGAGAGAGGATTGAAAACTGAGTTTTTTGAGCCTTCAGCTTTCTCAGCCTTGCTTCCATTCTGCTAGTACCTAGCGTTTAAGAACAACACTTAGCAAAAGGCCCAGTTAAAATTAAGATACTCTGTAGAAGTCGTTCAGTGCGGAGTTCCACTTTATGATTCCTGTTGGTAGTATAATAGTGTAATACTGTGCCCAAGTTATATGATATGTGTGGTCTCTGCCCAGGTATAAAACGCCACACCCCAAGGTTTGATTACCTGTTGAGTAAAGGTAAAAAGATTGTCCAGAATTTAAGTAGAAATAGCCCGTTGATTCATTCAGTAAATATTGAGCATCTTGGGTGCCAGGTAATGTAAAAGGTCCCCACTAACTGGAGTCTCCATTTTATAATAGAGTGGTAGATTCTGTAAATTGGAGAATTCACTTCTGTTGCCAAAATTTACCTGGCAGAGGAATGAGGGTCATAATCCATGACATTTTTAATTACTAATGAGGGACATAGGAGGTGATTTATTTGCAAACATTTTTTCAAAGTATGCTTATCTTGAGGCTCCTTTAGTGCGTTTAAAATAGGGGGTGGTTTTTGTTTCTTTCTGGATTTGTTTTTAAAAAAACTTCTTGAAAATAAGACTACTGTGTAAAATAAGATGTTAATGTGATTTGTGCCACTAATATTTTTAATTTTATAGGAAAGCTGTTTGTGCAAGTGTGAGATAGGCCAAAAGATTCCAAGACTTTTTTTGTTTAAAATGTGGACGACATTTTGTGTAAATGGATACTAAAGTCTTTGTGTAGTATACTGTTAAAATGTGAAATAGATGAACCTCTTGTCACTCTCAGGCTGCTAACTAAAAGGTCAGCAATTCGAATCTACCAGCCGCTCTTTGGAAACCCTATGGGGCGGTTCTACTCTGTTCTGCAGGGTCACTGTGAGTCGGAATTGACTCAGTGGCACACAACAACAACAATCTTCCCTGAAATCAAAACCAGTGTCTTTTGTTTTTTGGTGTTTTAGCCATGGGGACATTCAAAGGTGACTTTCCCAGTAGTTTGCCATTTTCTTAGGGATAGAAAATTGCTTGGTGAAGCGGGTTCTCAGAGATGAAGTACTCAACTTGCCTATGAGGAGTTAACTACTTTTTATTTCAGCTAAGAACATAAACGTTGTTTTTGAGGACTTTACAGAAAGGCCTAAAGCCTTGTAAATCTCTTCTCCCAGCACCTTCCTCCTCAAATACAGTGGTGGGGCAAAGAAAGTCTTGGGGATCTCCCTTGTAATTTAAATTTAAAATCTCAAAATTTGGTTCTGCTCTTAATTTTTAAACGAACTAATCCCCACAGGTTGAAAATCTACTTAGATCTTTCAGTTTTGTGAGAGAAAAATAGTGAGGATGACCATGTCTCTTCTCAGTTAAATGAGTTAGTAATCATAAAGGCCCTGTAATTATCCCTAACAATGGTAAGCACTATATAAATATGTGATAAATAAAAAATAAATAGTGTTTAAGTGTGTACAGAATTCTTTTTTGTATTCAGAAGAAAAATAATGGGTGGATTATAAAAAAAAAAATAATGGCAGTGATCTAGGCAATGAGAATGAGTGATTGGAAATTGAAATACAGTCAAAGATTGTGGTGAGTAAGATGGTTCTTAATACCAGTTTGGTGAATGATACTAATTAGTTTATTTTAGTTTCTGGCTTTAAGTAGCTTCACTGCCATGGAGCTCCCAGTTTCCATAACTCCTCCTCATGCTCAGTAGATGACCCTTAGGAAACTTCCAAAAGGTCTTGCTCCTTGACACCTCCAAAACTTATTGAATCTTCTTTCATCCTTAATTCTTTCCCTTCTATTTGCCAGGAAGGGATCAACTCTGAAACCATTCTCTCCTCATGTCCCCGGATACCACTGTCTTCTGTTTCCTTAAGCCCTTTCGTCGCCAATAATATCTATTGCTCTTAAATCATAAGCCCCAGCTCACAAGAGGTTTCTTCTCTTCAGCCTAAAGTCTTTCACATTCACCTTCATCTTAAAAAGAAAAAAAAACTAAACCAAATATTTTTAAAGACTTCCCTTAACCTACCTTTCCCTCAAATCACTTTTTATTTTTACTCTGCTTTACCCTCAAGTTACAAAATAGGGGTTTGTCTCTCCACCGTGTTGCTTTATTCATCCCAAACCTTGACCGCTACAAGCCATATAACCAAACCTACGTTTTATAAGTTCCTATTCTCTAACCTTTATGTCCTTGTGTCTTTTGTTGAAGCCAATTGATAATTTTCCAATTCATTTTACTTCATTTCAACATATAATAGTATTGTTTAGGGTTCTGTAAATTCATTGAGTCATTCAAAGTAACTATTTAAAGGATTTTTTTTTTCTTTTTTGTCTGAAGGGATGTGTAATTCATACTAAGAATAAAAGAGATAGCTCCTCTAGGTTATAAAAAGTAAATAATAGGAGGAATTTGGGGCTATAGATGAAACAAGATTGGCTATGAGTTGATACTTGCTGGAGCTGTGGATAGATAGGTAAGTGGGGTTCATTATACTAGTCCCTCTACATTTGTGTTTGTCTGAAATGTTCCATAATAAAAAAGGTTTTAAAATTCTCAGAGGAAATATTTAAATTCCACACTTTGATACCATGGGTTAAGATTTAAGATGAGGCCAAAGGTATTATAAGTCATTTGGTGTAACAGCAATGTGATTGTAGATGGACAGGTGGAATTGCAAATTTAAATTAGTAGCCATTATTTTTACCCAGCTAACAATGAACACCATGTGTAGGCCAGGTCTTAGAGAAAAATATACCAGGTACAGCCTACCAATCTGTGAGAGACCTAAGGGAGGGAAGGGTTTAAGCGCAGCTCCCCTCCCCCTTCCCTGAGAGGAACATTCTGATTCTGTGGCAGTTGACAGGGGGCAGGAGAGGGCCATTTTTGGCTGACAGGAGGCTAAAGGAAAAGAAGCAGGGTGAGATTTCTGTCTGTATAAGTAAAACCAAAATTATCTCCACAGTAAAGAAAAGCCAAGGAATGGGTTGTAAACATCGTTGTGGGGTTTGGA